AAACTGCTGACCCAGGGGCCAGATATGGCTTCCCTGATATGTTTTATGTATCCCACATCATTTTTATAGGATTTATTTATTTATTTATTATTTGGAGATAGGAGTCTTACTCTGGCGCCTTGGGTAGAGTACTATGGTGTCATCATAGCTCACAACAGCCTAAGCAATCCTCTTGCTTCAGCCTCCTGAGTAGTTGGGACTACAGGTGCCCAGCTAATTTTTCTATTTTTTAAGTAGAGATAGGGTCTTGCTCTTGCTCAGGCTGGTCTCAAACTCCTGAGCTCAAGCAATCTGCCTATCTTGGCCTCTTAGAGGTTTGATAGGATTTTAAATCAGTTGCCTCCATTTCAAAAATGACATTTTGCATACAAATAAACGAAATTATAAGTTTTTCTTGAAAATTAGGTAATATGGCAGCCTGGGCCCCACATTTTATTATGGTAACTTTTGGCTAGAGCTAAATAGAGGCTGACTAGACAGGAAAGCTCTCTCCCATTTACCTGAGCCCCACCTGCCGGTGCTAGTTATGCCTGCATTGTGCATCTGTGTTCTCTGTCAGAGGTAACCAGGAGCCATCAAAGGCTCTAGAGGAGGGGAGTGGCTCATTCAAAGTAGGCATGGGGTGTTGGAAGTCTTGGCCCCAGTTTTGGCTCTGCCACTTGCTGATCTTGAGCAACTCCTTCAACTACATGGGTCCTTGCTGTGCTAATTTGGGAAGTAGAAATGAAAATAACAGCCTCTTTTTGCAGCATTGCTATGAGAAGCCAGTGCAGTGAGGTGACAGTCATTTATAAAATGCAAATTAAAGTTCCATGAAGTCAAAGACTCTGGCTGTCATGTTCCCTACTATAGCCCACTTCCTCGAAAACAGCCGGTGTTCAACATATACATATTGTGTGGACAAATGAATAAATGGGTAATACATATCAGCACATCTACTACCAGGCACACAGCAGGTGCTCAATGCATACGTATTTAACAAATGAATGAATGAATATTGTATCAATAACTTCAGTGCCAGATACACAGCAAGTATTCAACATATGTTTATTGAATGAATGAATGAATGCTGTACATCAATATAACATACAGCAGGTGCTCAATACATGCTTATTGGATGAATAATTGAATGAGCAAATTAATGGTTGCATAATGTCTATTCATCTATCCCTGGAAGGAAAGAAGAAAGGAAGCGGGGAGGGAGAGGCTATTAGCTTACAAAAGGCAGAACAGATACTAGGCAGAATGACAGTTGTAGTTAATGAGAAGCTCAAAGGCCCATGAGACATTTCCGCAGAGTCCCAGGGAAGCTCTTGGGTGGGGCTCGTGGGCAGTACCCCTGCCTTTGCAGTGGCCATTCATGGTTGCTGAGACCTTATTATCTGGGCAGCTGGAACCCCCTTCCAATCAGCAGACAAATGCAGAGGCAAATGCAACCTGCTGTGATCAAACAGGACAGGCTAGTATGCTTGTCTTTGGAGTCTGGCAAGGGGGGATAATAATACAGCTCCCCAGAAGCACTGGAGGGAGAAGAGAGATACTAATTATATCTTGTGTTTGATTCAAGACTCCTTGGATGCCAAGGAAAAAAATACCTCCTAAATAAGCTTAAGCCAAAAGAATGGAATTAAGTATCTATGTGGGAGGTACCAATTTCACAGTCATGGGTTTAGGGGTGCAGAAATGTCACTTTATTATTATTGCTTTCTAGACTTTAGTAATGACTACCCCGCCTATTCTGTTATGTACACTTATGTACATTATATCTTTCTTTTTATCAACTTGCTTTAAAAAAACCTTAAAAGTGGAAAGGTGTTTTGGAAACAGTCTCACTCTGCTGCGCCAGGCTAGAGTGCCATGGCCTCAGCCTAGATCACAGCAACCTCAAACTCCCGGGTTCAAGTGAGCCTCCAACTTCAGCCTCCCAAGTAGCTGGCACTACAAGCTCCTGCCACAACATCCAGCTAATTTTTTCTATTTTTAGTAGGGATGGGGGCTCGCTTTTGCTAAGGCTGATCTGGAACTCCAGAGCTCAAATCCTCCTGCCTCAGCCTCCCACAGTGTTAGGATTTTAGGTGTGAACCACAGCACTCAGACTAAAAGCATTTTTTTTTATAAAGAAAACCTTATATACAGTCTTTTTTTTTTTCTTTTGAGACAGAGTCTGACTTTGTCACCTTCGGTAAAGTGCTGTGGAGTCATAGCTCACAGCAACCTCAAACACTTGGGCTCAAGCGATTCTCTTGCCTCAGCCTCCCGAGTAGCTGGGACTACAGGCGCCCACCACAATGTCCAGCTGTCTTATATAGAGTCTTAAATGGAAGATTAGAAACAATTGCCCTAAGTAGGAAATGTCTGCAAAATTAAGTAAGTAATGCAAACAAAACAATATTATTAAATTCTAGCTGGGTTTGGTTGCAGCACTGCCTTCCCTGTCAAAAAGAAAGATGGGTAGGTGTTTTTAAAAGGTTTAGTTTTTTTGCTTTTGAGAGAGGGTCTCACTGTGTTGTGCTCAGGCTGGAGTGCAGTGGGCATGATCATAGCTCACTCCAGGCTCAAATTCCTAGGTTCAAGTTCTCCTCCTGCCCCGGCTTCCAGAATAGTTGGAACTGAAGGCATGTACCACTGTGTCTGGCTGAAATTTTACTTTTTTAGAGATGGTCTCACTACATTGGTCTCAAACTCCTGGCCTCAAGTGATCCTCCCACCTTGGCCTTCCAAAGTCCTGGTATTATAGGTGAGAGCTACCACCCCTGGCCTATAAAAGGTATTAAAGACTGAGTAGCACCTCATGATATAATCATCACAATGAAATAAAAAAGAAATACCTTTCTTGCAAGAGATACAAAATTGCTTAAAATATTCTGTCTACTGTCTGAAGTCATTTTTCAAAAGCCCTGAAATCATCTGGTAGACCTCCAAATTTCTTCTTTATTTTCTTTTAATTCAGTGTAAGGTTTTAAAGCTAAAATCAACATGTTTCACACTTTCCTGCTGATGTCTCCAGAGGGTCAGGAGGATGAACTCAACCTTGGGGGTGTGTTTCAGAGCGAGACCTGGCCCCACCTCATACTGCAGGCTTAAAATTCATGTAGAATTTGTATTCTACTCCATCATGCTTGGTGTTGATTGTGATATAAAAATTGTATTTTAAATTATGTTCACCCTTAAATTTTTCCTCAATTTCTAAGAGTAATTAATGCCCCAGGAATATGAATCATGTTTACCTTGAAGTATTGTGACCCTCTGTGGTTCTCAACCCCCTTGAATATAGGACCTCTTTACTTTAAAATATGTGATAAGTTGCCCGGTATGGTGGGATGCACCTGTATTCTCAGCTAGTCAGGAGGCTGAGGCAAGAGG